TGGTTTCTCGCGCGATATCGCCGAGAGACAGATGTCGCTGGCGTAGCTGTCGCTGCAACGGTTCCGTATTTCGCAACGTCGGTAAAAATATTTCCGCGGAACGAGAACGTTGTTGCGCAAAATTTAAGAGAATCGAACGTGAGAGTCGAACGTTGTTCGCTGCACGAGTAGAGAGAGAGAACGAGAGAGTGATCGTTACTCGCACTGCGGTAGTTTGCGAGCGAAAAGGAAAGGCCAATTACTCTCGGACGGAGTGATATCTGTGATATTCGTTTTTCCTTGAAAGCGAGTACAGCGTCGAATCGCTGCGTTGGTAATTGCGTTGAGAAAAGAAAAGAGAAAAAATAACGACGATATCCTACATTTCGTACTTGCAGTCTGTACGTACGAAGAAATTCGATACACGCATGTACGTGCACGCACCACGCGCGTACACATGCGTGTAACATGCGTGTATGCGCGTGTGCGTGTGTCCTTCCACGCACAGGGTGTTGCGATCGTGTTGAGAATTTTGCGGTGGTTGTTGTGTAGTATAGTATAGCAGGGGGAGGTCTTTTTAGCCCCCTTGGCGAGTAGCCTACACGCCGGTAATGAGCGTTTATGCCGTAACTACGGCGACACCGACAACGAGTGCGATAATATCGACGACAACGGCAACGACGACGACAGCTGTGACACCGACGACGACGGCTACGCCGACGACAACGGCGCCGGCGGTTGCCGTGTCGCCCGAAGCTGCACCTGGTTGGACAGAATTCTGTGAGAGACACGCCCGCGCTTCGGCTTCTGATTTTGCTAAAGCTTTTTGTACCTATGTCGGTTTAAATTTACCAGAGAGTGCTAGATCGAATCTTTCTTACCGTGATTTTTTACGAAAATTTATCGAGAGCTTTTGCGAGCACTTTGAAAGCGAATACCTACGTCGTACAATTAGGTATGCTATGATGTTGAACAGACGTGTTCTGTTTGCTTTTGTAATTCTCTCGATTCAGTACGATACAACACCGTTTACAGCGAGAGCGATTTGCACGAACTTGAAAGAACTTATTTCCTTTTTCCCCCGTTGCCCTGACAGGTCACCGTCCTTGTACGACGCCAGGCACGTAGCGACCAACGACGGAGATGTCAACGCTGTAAGCCAAAACAACAACGCCCCTGTGCGTGTATCGTCTCGCGAGGAATTCAGCGATTACTCCGAGCACGATGGAGATGCGATATCGCCGAAACCTGCGCGCAAGCCCTTTTTCCGCCGTTTATCTTTCAAAGGGCTTAAAAAGGGTAAGAGTTTCTTTCACAAACAGCAAAGCGACGAAGTGGAGTTGTCTCACAGCGAGCATCGTAGAGACAAACATTCGAGAGCTAAGCTTTCCAAGATCGTGGTGGAATGTAGGAAGGAGGGCGTCGTTAACTCCTTGATGGGAGAGAATATTGACGGGACGCAGAAATGGGAGAGGTCTAGGCTTGCCTTGATAAAAGCGATTGGCGGATACATGTTGGAATTTTATTCTCCTCCGAAAGCAGTGAAACCGCGTAGCGGTGTCTTTTGTTCTGCGATAACCGAAGCTAGGGAAACGACTGCCTTGGAAATGCCGGATCACGAGAATACCTTTGTGCTAAAGACGCAAAACGTGGAATTTGTAATAGAAGCTCGTGATTCGAATGACATGAGATCGTGGTTAGCCA